CAGGGCGGCAGGGCCAGCACCCAGCCGGTGACGTGCCCACAGCCAGCCAATGGGCAGCGGGCGGCAGGGAACCGTAGTTCCAAGCGGTGGGCAGGCAGAGGGAGGGGATGCGGATCGAGCGCGCTGGGACTCACACCAGGCCCGGTGTGGCAGGCATGGGTGCAACACCCGCGCTGAAGGACAGCCAAGTGAGAGCCCAACAGAGAAAAGCCCATAGCCTCACTGTGCAAAGCACACGTCAGAAGCCACACTTCTGCAAGCTTACGGTATTTGTTTACAACCTACCAGGACTAACAAGACCTTTATTTAAGAGCCGTAACAAGGGCTGCAGAGATGGCTCGTCGTTAAGAGCACTGACTGCTTTTGCAGAGAACCCACAGTCGCTCACAGCCATCCATCAGACCAGGTCCAGAGGACCTGAAGCCAGCCCTCTTCTGAACTCAAGAAGCACCAGGCATACACATGGCGCACATGTACACACACCCAGGCAAAACAACCATGCGTAAAGTCTACAACAAAATTTCTTTATTTGATAGTTGGGTACAAATGATGTCCACCCAATAAAAGCGTATCTCTCACCCCCCTCTCCCCCCCAGTACACACAGAGAGAGACACAATCAACCCAGCGGCAGCGGAACCAGGCTCTGGCCATCTTCACTTCTTATTAGCCTGAGCAGTACCGATAACACACTGGTTCACCTGTGGACCAAGAAGGTTATACAAGATCAGCGTTGGTCCATCTACCCCAGCTCCAATGCTGGGGCCGCCCTCCAAAATATTGAAATAAGGGCTGTTGAAAGTAGGCTCGGCCTGGTTCCCGCCCCTAAGCATAGTTGTCTTATATCCACTAGTAGGCCTGGAAGAGGTCAGAAGTCTAGAGATGAAGCCCTGGTTTTATGTCAACTCCACACAGGCTACCTCTCTCTCTCTCCTCTTTTTTTTTTTTGGTTTTTCAAGACAGGGTTTCTCTGTGGCTTTGGAGCCTATCCTGGAACTATTTCTTGTAGACCAGGTTGGCCTTGAACTCACAGAGATCCTCCTGCCTCTGCCTCCTAAGTGCTGGGATTAAAGGTGTGCGTCACCAACGCCCGGCGCTAGCTCTCATTTGAAGAGGGAAACTCAGCTGAGAAACTGTCCCATCAGATTGGCTTGTGGGCACCACACTGGTCTTTTCCACAATTAGTGATTGATGTAGGAGGACCCACAACCCTATTGTGGGTGTGCCACCCCAGGTAGGTGGGTCCTGAGGCGTATAAGAAGCAGGCTTGCCAAGTGGTGATGGTGCACGCCTTTAATCCAGGACAGGTTCCAATGCTAGAGAAACCCTGTCTCTAAAAAGCAAAAAAGAAAAGGGAAAAAGTAAAGAAAATCACTGTGCCTAGGGGTGGTGGTCACAGCTCTAGTCTTATCCCTTGACAGGCAGGTGGGCAGTAAGACGAGCTACCTGATTCTGCCTGAAAGTAAAGAAGAGATGATGTGTAGTGGTAGAGCACTTGCCTAGCATACATTAGGCTCCAGGTTACATCTCTAACACCAAGCTAACACATGACAAAGGCAGATTTAGATAGTGGAGCTTTCTGATGGAACAGAAGTATGCCACTGTCCTGTCTATTAAATAGACCAAGAATCTGAGCTAGCGTTACAAATCTAATGACTACCAGACACCAAACTCTGAGGGAATAGTGAGCAACCACCCGAGTCTGAATATGAGTCCTTAACAGGCAACGTCACCTGAGGAGGAAAGGCCCCATTTCACATTATAGTAAACAAGTGTTTCCAAACAGAACTGTCCTCCTACAAGTGAGATGACTGGCCCTGCTAGGATCCTAATTCGAACAAACCTGATATATCAAAGACATTTCTGAGACAGCCAGGAGAAACTTAAGTGGACATTAAAGTCATGTCAGGCCAGGTGGCACACGCCTATAATCCTAGTGCTTAGGAGGAGGAAGCAGAAGATCAGACCAAGATCAGCCTTAGCTACGTAGTAAGCTCAATACCAGTTTCACTGACATGAAATGCTGACTTAATACCCCTCTTGCCCCCACGGACAGCAAAATAGCTCAAGCTAGCAAAGGTGCTTGCCACCAAATCTGATGACAGGACAACTGAAGTTTGGTTTCTAGGGTCCACTTGGAAGGAAAGGACCAAACTCTACAATTTTCTCTCTGCCCTACACACACACACACACACACACACACACACACACACACAGTCATTTTTTAAATTATAAGATGACTTTATGTGTAGGAGTGTTTTGCTTACATCACATCCATGCCTTCAAAGGGTGTAGCAGCCCCTGAAACTAGAGTTAGGGATGGTTGTGAGCCATCTAGGAACTGGACTCAGGTCCTCTGCAAGAACAGCAAGTGTCCATAACCACTGAGCCATCTGTCCAGCTGAGCTATCTCTCTAACCTGTAAATCACTTTAAAGCTGCCTTTTTTGTTTTTTTTTTTTTGAGATTGGCTTTCTCTGTGTAGCCCCAGCTGTTCTGGAACACACTCTATAGACCAGGCTGGCCCAAAATCAGAGATCTACCTGCCTCTCTGCCTCTGGAGTACTAGGACAAAAGGCATGTGCCATCACATGTGGCTAAACCTTCCTTATTATCTTTGAGAAATCTGGCTGGTCACCCAGCTCAGAAAAGGTCATGCTTACTGTGACAAGGACCGGTTCAAGACTCAACACCAAAATCCAGACAGGTGATAAGACTGTCCACGTAACTGACAGAAGAAGCTACCTCACAGAGAACAGCGTGCAGCTGCTGCCATTGACAGAGGGCAGACCCAGTCATGACCAGACCCCAAATAAAGTCAGAACTCAAAGGAAAAGAGGAACCAGGGGGAACAATTAGCCATCAAGACAGACAATAATGAGACTGAGGCCTGCTCATTCCTAGGAGGGTGAGAACATGGGCACTGTCTAGCTCTATACATCTCCTTTATTCTGGCTATTCCATTTCAAGGAGCATTCCTCTAGACAGATGTAACTGGAAAATACACAAAATATGTACAAGATCAATGTGGCCTTGTTTATAATCAGGACAAGGTGGTAACAGGGCAACTGTCCAACAGTTGGAACTGGTGAGTAAATTTTGGTGGAGTCCTCCACAGACCTAAAAGTAATGTGGCAACCCCAGTGCCCATGGGAGTAATCCTGGGGGCTGTTTTGAAGAGCAAGGTAAACAAGGGACAAAAGTGCATATATACATAGAAAAGGAATCGGAACATGGACATAGCTTGTTCTTGCAGTGTAGTCCTGACTATGTGGTTGAGTCTCCTAAAATACTATAATTCAAAAGCCAGTAGTTAAAAATGGAATCAGTGGGGCTGGAGAGATGGCTCAGAGGTTAAGAGCACTGACTGCTCTTCCAGAGGTCCTGAGTTCAATTCCCAGCAACCACATGGTGGCTCACACCCATCCATTATGAGATCTGGTGCCCTCTGCTGCCCTACAGACATGCATGCAAGCAGAACACTGACTGTATAATTCATAAATAAATAAATCCCGCCCCCCCCCAAAAAATGGAATCAGTGTGTGGTACCCAAGATGCCTAGGAAGTTCGAATTCTTTTTGGATAGCTGCATCACAGCCTAGAGAACAGGAGTCCTAACGGAGATGCCTATCAACAGCCAGGAATCCTGGCAGTGTGGGCAGGCATAGGGTTTGAATGAGAACACCCCCATAGTCTCATAATGAATACTTGGTCCCCAGTATTTGGTGGAACTGCCTGGGGAGGATTAGGAGGTGTGGCCTTGTCAGAGAATTGTATTGAGGGCTGGGGGGCTTTGAGATTTCAAAAGTTCATGTCATTCCCAGTCTCGCTGTCCTCAATGTGAGCTCAGTACTCCCCAACCCCATGCTGCCTGCCTGCTGCCATATTCCATTGCCATAAAGGTCATGGACTCTAACTCTCTACAGCCGTAAACCACCAATAAACTCTCCCGTAAGTTCCTTGGTCACAGTGTCTCGTCACAAGAGTAGAAAGCTTTTGACAGCAGAGTAGCAGTTGTACCTTGGAAGCAAAACGTAGTGAATTGAGAGACTCAGAGACATTCTCTTCCAGAGGGGAAATGTTCACAAACATGAGCCTGTGGAGACAAGGGCCCAAGCCAGCATCAGTGTCTGCTCAGGCTGAGCATACACCCAGCTAAGACTGCAGTCCCCACAGCCCCCTTCCCCTACAGCCCCCTTCCCCCCAGCCCCTCCCACTCACATCTTGGCACTGCCACCCAGCGAGTGCTGCAGCAGGTAGGTAAGCTTGCTGTTTCGGTAAGGCACGTGGGACTCCTGAAGGGTACGGAGCACAGGCAGTTAGGACAGGGCAGAGTTCTCCACAGCTCATGCCAGCTGCCCCTTGCCTTCCCCGCCCACGCACCCATTCCTACCTTATTGCTCAGGGCCATTATGACCAGTCCCAGGGTAGACAGACTGCTATTAATGGACTGTGTTTCCCGAAGGCGATCACGTTCCCCAGGGCCTAAGGTTAAACCAGGGTCTAGCCGCTCACTCCCAGCCAGGTCCACAAGGTTAAGGGGAGCGACACACTGCAGGCCCCGAGCAGCATGCTCTCCAGAAATCTGCAGCTGGAACACACTGTGACTTCGAGATGATCTCTCATTCTGGGCAGTGCGGGCCACAGCTCGATTCTGGTGGGCCAAATGGAGCAGAGCCTCCACCTGGGGGTCAGCAAGGGCAGAGGCTGTCAGAGGCCAGGCCATGCTGATGGAGTGCAGCAATGAGAGTCTGCCCCTGCCCTCCTGGAGCAAGACCACAGACCAGCAGAACCAGTGTGTAAGCACATTTGGAGAGAACAGCCTGTCTTATCACGCAAGTCTATAATCTCAACTACTTGGGAGGCTGACACACAAAAATCCAAAGTTCAAGAACTCCTTGAAACACAGAGGGAGTTCTGAGAAACTTGGGGAGGCCACATCTCAAAATAAAAACAGACCAGGTGTAGTGGTTTAGATCTATAATCCCCAGCACTCAGGAGGCTGAGACAGGAGGACTGCCTTGAGTTCAAAACCAGCCTGGGCTACAGTGCAAGATTCTCAAAAGGGCGAGGCATTGGTGGCGCAAGCCTTTAATCCCAGCACTCGGGAGGCAGAGGCAGGCGGATCTCTGTGAGTTCTAGGCCAGCCTGGTCTACAGAGCCAGTTCCAGGTCAGCCAGGGCTACACAGAGAAACCCTGTCTCGAAAAACCAAACAACAGGAAAGATTCTTAAAAGGAGAAAAGTGCAACCCAAGTACCCTCCCTGCTTGAAGACCTCAGGGGAAGGGCGAAAGGGGGGGGGGCAGCCGTTAAGAAACCTGAGGGGAACAGTCAGGGATCATCACTGCTAAGGTGAGCGTGGTGACAAAGAGCAGGAAAGGAGGTCTGGAAGCACCTGGAAGGAGGGTAGTGACAATCACCTCTTCAGATGCACCATGCCTCTCTACTTCTTGGCCTTATGAAAGCAAACCTACCTTGCAGCCCACCATGCAGCGATACCCTCCCCCAGAGCCCACGTCATCCTCAGGAGTGCATTTGTCTACGCCACTCTGCCCACCCCTCCCCCTCACCTCTCTCTCACAGGAAACAGGAACATAGCGTGCATTGGTGACAGTAAGCTCCTCACTGCCTGGTCTTGCTCGACGAATCTCACACTCGCCTTGCCCCTTCCGGGTCCCAGTGGCCAGCAGGTCTCGGACGGTCTCATTGTAGATCTCTACGTAACTTGCCACAAAACTGTAGGTCCAGCCCTGGCCACTCATCTCCTGAGCCACAGAGAAGAGATGCCGCATGGCCCGAGGGATCAGCCCCTCCAACTGGGGGTCTCCCCCAGGCCTGCCCTCCATAGTGAAGGTCTTGCCACTGCCGGTCTGTCCGTAGGCAAAGATGCACACAGGGTAGCCGTCCAGTGCCGACTGGACCAGCATGGAAATCTCCTCAAACACTTCCTCCTGTTTGCTTCCTGGTGGGAACACCCGGTCAAAGGAGAAATCGTGGCGCGTAGTGGGTGCAGGCGCCCTGGTCAGGGTCGAACGCCGATCATCAGACCGTGAAAGGCTAAGGCGGGTTGGGGGGTCAGAGGGTCCAGCAGGGCCATGGGGAAACAGGAGAAAGCCAGGCGATGGAGTAGGTTCCCCTGCAAGAACAGGGCGCACCCGGCAGAATACCCGGATATTGCCCTTAAGTTCCTGCAACTGGTTGTGGAGTCGGCGGCGCTCCATCTCTAGCCCGTGGAGCCGGTCACCTTGCTCAGCCAGTAAGGTCACCTGGGCTGCGGTCTTCTGCCGCAGACACACCACCTCCGATTCGTTGCTTAGCAGAGCGGCTTCTGAGGCCTGTAACCTCCTCTGCCCAGCGCAGAGGGTCAGAAGGTGGGATGCAAACAGTAATTAGAGCAAAGCTTGTGCCAAAATGGGGTAGGTCTCTAGTGGCATAGACTTCACAGTCCACTACAGAGGCAAGAAAGTCGGGCAGTGGTGACACACACCTTTAACCCCAGCACTCAGGAGGCAGAGGCAGGTGGATCTCTGAGTTCCCAGCTATTATGGTCTACAGAGCTGGTTCTAGGACAGCTAGGGTTGCACAGAGAAACAAAATCAGAGTGTGGGGCCCTGGGACTATGGAGATTGCTCAGTGAATAAAAGTATCTGGTGTGAAAACAGGAGACCCTGAGTTAAAATTCCCATCACCCATGTAAAGCTGGGCATGGCTACATGTCCCTGTAAGGCCAGTGCTGGGGAGCAAAATCAGTCAACTTTAGGTTCAATGACTCCCTTCCCTTCTGCCAAAAAGCCAGGGAAGGGAGGAAGGAAGAAAGGAAGGAGGAACTTAGGGCTGGAGAGATGGCTCAGAGGTTAAGAGCACTGGCTGCTCTTCCAGAGGACCTAAGTTCAATTCCCAGCAACCACAGGGTAGCTCACAGCCATCTGTTATGAGACCTGGTGCCCTCTTCTGGTGTGCAGATATACATGGAAGCAGAATGATGTATACATAATAAATAAATAAATCTTAAAAGAAAAGAAGGAACTCTGGCTCCAGGCTGAGGAGTGTGAAGGGAATCTCGAAGAAGACAGACACTATCCAAAGTGACATGATACTTAAGTGGGCCAAGGGGACATAAGTCATTAGAGACAGTAGTAGTGCCCTCCCACAGACATGGGAGGAGGGAGGCAGTGGGCGCACACACAGACACCCTGCTGGAGACCTGAGGCCTAAGTCTTCTGGGAGTCTGAGAAGAGTGAGGCCTCTGCCCTGGAGGGAGGCAGCACAGTGAGACTCTGGCCCTTACCTCTTGCTCTTCCAGTCGGGTGGCCAATGCCTTCCGCTCTTCCTGCAATTCCAGCTGCTCTTTCTGGAGCTCCTGAATCAGGTTTTCCTTGGTGCCCAGCCATTCCTCCAGCTCCAAGACACGGGCACACAGAGCCTCCAGTTTCTGCTGGCACTGCTCCGCTTGCGTCCGCACACTGGCCAGCTCCCCTTCCAGGGTGTTCCGCTCTGTCCCCAGGGCTGCGGCCTGCTCCTGGGCTTCTTTAAGTTGCTCCTGAAGCCCTTGGTTCTCCTGGTCCAGCTTTTGAGTCTTCTCCCGGTAGCATTTCAGCTCTTCAGTGAGGTCACACAACTGACCCTTTAAGTCCCAGTCAGGACGCTTACCAGGCCTCTTCCCTGCCACCATGGACACAGAAGAGGCACAGGTCAGGAGCCTACCATCTACCCTCGGGCCACAGCTGTCTCTCTCCTCTCCAGACAGGAAGGCAGCAGATGTTTTTTGGCGCTCACCACCTCCCCTTTCCACCCCAGGCTGTCACCCAATGTTTGTATGTCACCTACTGACAGGCTTCTGGGCAGGAGCAGTGGGAGCCAGCTTCTGGTTCTTCAGCACTAGAGGGTCAGAGTTGACACAAAGTTATAGGTGGACGCGCAGGGCGCACCTTCAACCCTGCACTTGGGGGCCAAGGCTGGAGAAGTCCAGTTCAAGGCCAACCTGAGCTCTAATGACACACAAAAGGAAACAAAACACCAAGGCTGGGCTGGGGCGATGGCTGGGCAGTTAAGAGCAGGTGCTGCTCTCACAGAGGACCCTCATCAGGAGACTGACAACTGCCTGTGACTGACTCCAGCGGATTCCACACCGCCCTCGTGCACACGCACACACTGCTCAGGCAGATGCACACACACAAGTCAATGAAAACAGTAAATCTTAAAAACAAACCCAAACGCAAAGGTTGTGCTCTGACTCAGCGGCAGAGCACTCACCTAACGTGTGCGGGCTCAGGACTGGACCCCCAACACTACTCCTCCCCACCGAAAAGACCTGAAGAACCAGAGCCCCTCTCTCTGTCACCATTCTCCCTTCCACGGCCCCAAATCCCTGGTCAGACCAGCGCACGTTACCTGATCCAACGGCAGTGCAACCACGAGGTCCTGTCTTCTTAGGGCCTTTCTGAGCTGTCCAAGTTTGGAAGGGAGGAAAAGTTACAACCCCCACACTTAGGCAGCATGTTCTGACAAATATTTTAGAGCGTTAGTTAGTCCTGTAAGTCTCTGGCCAGCTCCGAATGGCTCTTCTAGGACCAGAGACAACTCCAATGCCAAGACCCAGTAAGTAAAAAGAGCAAGCGGGCAGAGCTGTGCACACAGCTCACAGCTACCCCCTGCTGGTGTTTTCTCTCACCTCTCCTCAGGCTCTCCCTGAGTCTACAGCTACCCCTGGGAGAACCAGACTCCAAGAGAAAGAAGCAGAGGGAGGAAAGAATTTCACCTAACCACCTTTGTCTCCTTGAAATTCTGAACCAAGTAAAGTTATTGACTCAAAACAGATAAAATCTGAAAGAAAAGAGGAGAGAGCAGCCCACCTCCCGCCCTTGGTGCTTGGTGCAGCCCCAACCCTAGAACCCACCTGCAGTGGGGCCCTGCGGCTGCGACAGTGAGCTCAGGAGTGGTCCTTTGGAGCGGGATGTGTCAATTTTGGTCACTGCACCCAGGCCTCGTGTCCGTTTCTGGGAGAGACAAGGATGGGGCTCCACATGACCTGTCCTTGTCCCTCTCTCCCCCTTTCTTACTCTCTGCTCCCCACTCCCATCTCACCTTTGCAGGCTCTAGGGCTTCCTTCATCTGGTCAGGGCCCCTCTTGAGCCTGCTCCCTGAAAGGGGCGGGCGGGAAGAGGCCTTGACCAGGGTTGTCTTCAGCTCAAAGTTCCTCTTCACTTCCAACAAAGGGGGCCTCTGTTAGAAAAAGAGGCACTTAAAACAGGACCAGCCGGGTGTGGGAGGCAGAGGCAGGGGGATCTCTGTGAGTTCAAGGCCTACCTGGTCTACAGAGGGAGTTCCATGACAGCCAGGACTCTTAGACAGAGAAACTACCTCGAAAACAAAACAACAAAAGCCCACAAACTCTCCTTTTTTTGGCACTCCCCTGACCTTAATTTTCAATACTGACTATCAGCAAGCACTGAATGAGAATCATTTGTGCCAAAAGCGGGCACTGTGTGCCAGGCAAACAGTACAATCGATGGAGAGAGCATGACAGGCGTGGGAACTACCTCCAGGGAAAAGCTACACTACAGCTGTCTGTCAGGGCTGACCTCAAGCAAACAGAAACAGATATTCCTGAAGACAAAAATTCTAACACACAGTACAGCTACGAGGCCAACAGGCCTTTCTAGTTAAAGCTAGGACCATACAGGAGCTGGCTGTTTACAGAGTGCCATTTTAAATGCTTCGCCTCTAGGCTCCATTATTAACTAACTCTGCAAATGGGGAGGGCAGACAGCACCAGGTGGATTGCCTGTCTGGGGCCCTGCCTGTGCACCATGCACAAGCAATACTAGGAGGGAGGGAGGGAGGGAGGCCGAGAAGAGATTGTCGGGTCCCCTTAGACTGCTGTTGGCCACCACGTGCATGCTGGAGAACTCAGGTCCTCTGCAAGCCGGAGTGCACTAAGCCATCTCTTTCGCCGGCCCCTCAGCTTGCTTTCTTATCTATCCCTGGCCCACCTGCCTCAGGATGGTGCCACCCTTAGCTCCTCCCACAGCAACATAAATCAAGACCATTCCCCAGTTAAAGTTCCTTCTCCTCAAGTGTCAAGCTGACAATAAAACTAAGCAGTAAGTCTACTACGGGAGTCAGTTCTTTTTCTTCCACCACACATGCCCGGGGGTCCAATTCGGGCTGTCAAGCTTGGCAGCCCATGCCCTGTGTCTCACCAGCCCTTTCAGGTTCAGTCTTGACGATGAGCAGAGCTCAAGGACAAGCGCCCAGTAAAGACGAAAAATGGGGCACAGGCAGTAACAGCACATGGGACACAGCAGGGAGGGAGGGAGGGGAGGAGACAAGAGGGAGAGACTGCTGGTTGGGGCTGTGATAAGGGACACTCAAGGGAAGAGGCACTCTGAGGGTTTTGGGTCAGGAAAATACGACAACATTTGTTTTGAATGTTTTGTGGCTCAACCGTGAGCCACACACTAATCCTAGCACTAAGGTGACTCAACTAATAATCGGGTCACAAGTTTGAGGCTGGCCTGGCTGGACTATATATATAATATAAGCAAGATCTAGTGAGGGGGACAAAAAAGAAAAGAACTGTGAGCATTGAAAAGGTGAGCAATGTCACACACAGACACTGCATTATTCACCCAGCAAGGACTTGGTGAACATCTGCTTTGCAGCAGATATGGCACTTGCCCAAGCGTGAGGAACTCCAGGTCCTTGCCTTATTTATTTTCTAGGGTAACTGCCAAACTGAAGTTCTGAAAACCAACTAAACCATAGAAAACGACCTGTTTTCTCTAGAATAGAAACACCTCGTGCCATGTTGAGTGCCTGGGACCTGATCTAGCGACTCTGCGAGGGTGCATTTGCACTCTCATGCCTGAGCACCAGACACAAGTCCATCTGGGAGAAGCAGGCAAGATGGCGGTGGGCTTCCGGAAGCCAGTGTTGGTGTAATTAGGAACTGGCTGCTCGTGGGTGGGCAGGTGCTAAGAAAGTCTAAGCTGTTAGGCTCCATTACCACTTCACAGGAGGAAGGTCTGATTTAGTTCAGTCTTTTGTTTTGTATGTTTTACTATTGCCCTGAGAGGGGCTGGGTGTCGAGCAGAACCCTGAAGGCTATTAGCCAGCCCACTGGCCAGGATCTGTAGTCTGCCCCAAACCCAAGTTGCCTGTATACTGGCTGAGCCTAGGGAGTCAACCAGATGAACCACAAGTATCCAGCAACCAAGCCCTCAGCCTGGACCCCAGCATTGTCTGTGCCCTCTGACCAACTGTATTTTTGGACAAATCTGTTGATTCCAACACATGAAAGAATGGGGTGAAGCTGGTAATGAAGACTGGGGCCCTGACTACATAAGCACTGGCTACCCCATGTATCACTGAGAGACCTGGGAACAGCTAGTAAGCTCACCCTGGAGTGAACTAAACCCAGGAGAAAAACTAAAACATTTATGATACTTACAGGGCCATCCAGATGGAGCCCTGCAGGACTGGGCTGTGACAAGACCAAATTCGGAACGGCCTTACACCCTGCACATGTTACAAAGCACAGCCAACTAATCTGGTTTGGTCCAGCTTCAGAAAAGAGCCTTTGTTAGACATGATGGCAGATGCCCACAATTTCAGCTGTCTGGGGGGGGGGGGGGGGGGGAGGCAGACTTCAAGCTCAAGGCTGGCCCAGGCCAGCCACTTAGCATGGCTGCCTTAAACTAAGAGCAGACCAAAGGCTTGGTATACCCTGTGAGTAGAGCACACAGCAGGAGCCGTTCAATCTCCAGTACCACAATCAATGAAGAGGCTGGCAAGGTAGTTCAGGAGGTAGGGGCACACGCTGCCAACCTGACACCTAAGTTCAATGCCCAGGACTCAACGATTCCAGAAAGTTGTCTTCTGGCCTCTGTAAGAATGCCTCGGCGCCCACACACATACAGCCTAAACAAATGTCTCTGCTCAAATAAGGCTTACAAGCTGATTGCTCCGACTGCATGGCAACAAACAAGGACGTGAGCCCACTTTTTTTTTTTTTTTCCCTTTTTTGGTTTTTCAAGACAGGGTTTCTTTGTGTAGCTTGGGAGCCTGTCCTGGAACTCAATTTGTAGATCATGCTGGCCTTGAACTCACAGAGATCCACCTGCCTCTGCCTCTCAAGTGGTGGGATTAAAGGCGTGCACCACCACTGCCCTAAGAGACCGATATTCTAGACTCCTCAGCTACTGAGCACTTTAAATTTTGTACTCCCTGAGGCCAGCCTGGTCTACAGAGCAAGTTCAGGACAGCCAGGACTGTTACACAGAGAAACCCTGTCTCAACCTCCCGCCTCCCCTTAAGTAAATAAAATTTGTGCTCAGCTGACTTTTTGTACAGAGGTATTAAAAGAAGCTGTCCTGGCCAGCCATCTTCAGATACATAAAATCTCAGGCCAGCCTCAGCTGCATGGACTGGGGGTTGGGGATGGGTACCCCTATAACTTGGAAAGTAACTACAGTAGGCTGTTTTGGTTGGATCTCTCCCCCAATTCCTTAACTGCCACAAACTTTCTAATGTTTGAATAGTATCTACAGGGCTGGAGAGACGGCTCACAGGTTAAGAGCACTGACTGCTCTTCCAGAGGGCCTGAGTTCAGTTCCCAGCAACAACATGGTGGCTCACAACCATCTGTTATGAGATCTGGTGCCCTCTTCTGGTGTGCAGACATACAGGCAGACAGAACACTGTATACATAATAATAAATCTTAAAAAAAAAAAAACAGGCTGGGAGTTGGTGGCGCACACCTTTATTCCCAGCACTAGGGAGGCAGAGGCAGGTCTCTTGCAGTTCCTTCTACTAAAGAGGAGATTTTATCATTTCTGGGAATAGCTGGCTTCTTACGTACCTGGATCCCCTCTTACTCCCTCCTTGCCCGCCCCCTTTATGAAGCAGCTCTCCGACCTCCCCATGAACCCCTCCTTAACCCTGTTACTAAGCCCTTTCAGAGACTTAAACAGGCTCTCCTAAAAGCCCCTGCTCTTCACCTACCAGATTTAACTCGTCCTTTCTCCCTCTATGTAACAGAAAAAGAAGGATTTGCCCTTGGAGTTCTAGGTCACCAGCTAGGACCTTCCTTTGCACCTGTA